AGTAGGCACAATGGTTGGACAGTTCCTTCATCAAGGCCTTGTTGAGGAGAAGTCCAGGAATGCTTTTGTATCTGAGATGCATACGAAGGTCAGGTCGATCACAAATGGGCACAATCTGGTCCTGCAAGGCATTAAAATGCAAACAGACTCGTTTGTTGATATGATCACGGAGTCGAAAGAAATCAGTGAATCGTTTGTGGCAATGTCTACAAGTTGGGTGCCCATTGGTGGTGTCCCGGAGAGGATTATAAAGATCTTCTTGAGTGCAAGGGATTTGATGATGTTCCCTTAGGTGACGCTTGTACGGACCTGCCTGTGTGAATGCTCGATGGCATTCATGGCATCGGAGTACAGGGACCTGGGTACACGGATCAGTGTGTGATGACGGAAAAGGAATGGTGGCTTCAGGATAATCTGGGACATGGACTCCTGCATCACTAGGCATGGTCGACATGGCTGATGCTCGAAGGCAGGACCGGCGGTGACTCAAGGAATTTGTCAAACGATCAAAGTGTCGTTGAAGCATGTGCCATGGTGGAGACAAGCCAAGACTTTGGAAGAATTCTTGAGTCGGTATACGTGTGAGGTGAACAGGTGCATGTGCCATCGAACGAAGGTGCTTATTGATCATGCCAATGATGGTGCTACTGCCATGTTGTGTAAGGCCCATTTCAAACACCCCGTAAAGGACAGTGGGGAGAACACACTGACGGTACAGTTTGATCCTTGTCTGTATTGGATGGTGCTTGTCTAGGAGCCACCTCCGCAGGATTCGAAAGCATGTTTGGGCTGCAGTGAGTCTGCGTTTAGTTGTATCGACTTCCCATGCCCTATACGAGATGATGACTCCAAGATAGGTCGTTTTGGCAACCAGCGGCACAGTGGTTTCCATGTCTGGCAGTCGAAGCATTGGGCCATTGGCCGTGCGACTAATCCATCTTTTCTGGAACGAAGGAAGGGCCTTCCCAACAAGTCGAATCATTGCGAAGCTCTTATGAGGATTGATCTTCAGTCCATAGGCGTTAAACACCCTCATCAGGAAGGACAGGTCGTGCATAGCGCGAAGTCCATCTGCTGGTGATCGGACAATCCAGCGCGTGTGAAAATCGTCTGCATACACTATCAGGTGGTTTAAGATCCAGTCGTGGTCGTACTGAGCTAGTAAGTCGTGGAGTATGATATACATCGTAAGGTTCCAAAAGAGCGGAGCATCTTTGGATCCTTGTTGAATGCCACCAGTGGCCTGGATTTTTCCTACCACTTCCTTAAAGGGAATGTAGTAGGTGTGGGGGGTCAACCACGAGTGTACTAACGATTGGAGGTCACTGGAGACCTCAAAGGCATGGAGAGCCCTGGATACCAACTGTCTGCTGACTGTGTCAAATGCCTTTTCCATATCCAACGAAATTTGGAGGCCTCCCCAAAGACCTGCTTTGGCATCGTCTTTCCGATGAGCAGTGCAAAGCTCTCTCACCTGTCTGCAGTGATGGGACACCGTCAGAAGACACTCACGTGTTCCTCGGTGCGGCATGTACGCGAACATGGGCATCTGACAGAGAGGTCCACGGGCCTGTTCAAGCAACAATCGACAATGAATGCTGGACATGACCTTATGCATCGGGTGTTGAAGACAGATTGGTCTGAGTGCGGCTGGTTGATTTGGGGTTTTATTGGGTTTAGCAAGAAGGTGAAGCCAACCTGCTGACCAATGTGACGGTGGGAGACTCTGGCTTTGGCACCATGCATGTCTGATACATGAAAACATCACGGGTGTCAAAATGCTTGCGAAATGTCTCCAAATCAAAGCAGGAAAACCGTCAGGGGCCAGTGCTTTCGTCACCGGAAGGTGTTGAAGTTCATGTAGGACATCAGCCTCAGTGAATGGCAAACTATTCAGAGCCGGAGGGATCATGATAGGGGCATGAGGGTCCGTGAACAAGTCCTGAAAGTATTGAGTCAGGCGCTCAAGTTCTTGGGCTTGGGACAGTGGAGCCCCATGCATATCAAACATCTGAATCCGCCTGAATGAGTGCTTAGGGCACAGGGTACGAATCCGCTTATACCAGTCATGCAATTTGTTCTGAAGTACCAGGGGGACACTTTCAGCAAGAAAGGCATCTAAGCGGTGCTTGCGGTTTTGTCTGCTCTGACGTCTGATGACTTTATGGAGCTTGTCGAATCGAATGACACAAGACCAGCCCTGAATCACAGCCTGCATGAAGACGTAGTAATTGCCGTCTGGCATACCACATTTGAGCGGCCAAGGATTTGACCTGAGAGCACATGGGTCGAATTCGGCTCACTCGGGGGAAGTGGTTCTGACACAGCTGTCTGATTTTTTGTTCAACCTGGATACAGGTGGAGAGGGGGTCAACCGAATTAGGTTCCGTGGTGATAGTGCAAACTGTGTTCATGACTTCAGTTTCGAAGGTGAGCCAGTTCTCAGTCTGTGACTGATATTCAAGCCTCAGTCGATGGCGGTCGATCGAATTAATCGGTGGGTGTTGACGGGGAGGTGCAAACCATTTTGGTAAGGACATGACAAGTGGATGATGGACAGGTGCACTGCTGCCAATCGTTCGTTCGAACTGGGTCAGTACCTGTGCTCGATGTTTAGTCCATTGGACTTGATGGCGACGAACGAACATAAAGTCGATTCGACTAGAGTGGTCCCCGTGTTGGAAGGTGGGTTTCCACTGATGTTGACAGTGAACGGCAACCAGGTCCAAATCACGAATCAGGGTTTGAAAGTCCTGCTTATCACATTGAGAAGCCACGCCATACTTGGGGTCACGTGAATGCACATGAGGTGCGTCAGCAGTCAGGGGTGTGTTGCAATCACCTGCAAGCAACAACATGTGACTCTTAGGAGCATGAAGAATACATTGACGGATGGCTTCAAAGACCTGAAGTCTATCATGTAGAAGGATTTGACGTTCCTTCGATGAACTCCATGAGTGCTGATAAACACAAATGATATCGTGGATTCGGGATAGATGTAATCGAACATGGATGAGCCGGCCTGGGCACAATTCACTCCAAGCAAGTTGATCTGGGCGCAGCAGTCGTCTGCGGATCATGCAGAGAACTGTGGCTCGATGGCCATGGGAATGTAGCATGTACCAGTCTCCAGAAACCCATTGATTGCTGAATCGCCAGCCAGTTTCTTGCAGGACAGCAACATCATACGAAGTCTGAGTGAGCCAAGTCACCCATTCATCCAGCAGGAGCCCGTTGGAGGCGTTCCAACAAATATATTCAAGGAGTCTGTCGTCCGGGTCATCGAGGGGGAGGATCCCACCTTCGTAGCTGGAACATTGGATTCATGAGTCAGCTGTTGTCGAATCCTGAAGGGGATGTTGGAATACCAGAAATCCTTTCCACGATATTGTGTGCATCCGTGCTTGTATGCTCGTTTGCATGCTCGATGAAAGCTCCTCTTGATTCTCTTGCATCTGGATGGATCCACAATTAGGCCGTAGCCTGATGTCGCCCAAACCTCGTGTATTTTCGTGTCAGGCCGCTTGTGAATCGGCAGGTCGATGACACTCTCACCACCAAGCGAGGTCTTGGTGGTAACCCTCGCGCCAGGCATGGATTGACCATCTTGAATGATAGATGGAAAGGATACCATACCCCCAGGATTTGGGACCTGGTGTCTCAGCGGTTCAAATATCAAAATCAAAGGCAGCCAGCAAATCTTCATTGAAGGATTCCAGAACAGTCGTGAGTTGGGGACATGTGCACGGAGAGGTACGAAAATGGCTGCCGGGCTTGAAGCTGAGATGGCGCTTTATATATATATAACTATATATATAGTATATCCCACTCAGATTATGATTGTGCCCCTACCAAACCATAATGATGCGGGCAGCCTTAGGAATTAAATTGAGGGGGGGTACTGAGTCTCAAATTAATTGCCGACATTGCCGACATAGGATGTTGGGGGGACCCCAAAATTTGTCGGCATGAAGAAATGCATGGTCTGACAGCAGAGAGGTAAACACTCCCCACCAAAAAGAAAACTAATTTCAATTAATTGCGAGTGGGGGGAGGGAAAATAGATAATTGGAAGAAGGTGGAGAGGTAAGGTACCTATGAATTAATTTTAAGGATTGTAAAACAAATGAAAGAAGAGTTGATGGTGGAGAAGATGAAAGAAATAGCGGGAAACAATGGGAAAACTTGAAAGCACTAAACACTTTAAACAGATCTAAAAGGCTTAGTGTGGAAGCCAGAATTTCGAAGAGAAGGGGTAGGACATGAATACTAAGATATACTAAGGGTACCTTTTTTTGATTATGAATTATATTATACTATATTGGTAGATATGCGGAGTGGTGACATGAAAACGGGAAGAGGTGATTGCTGGCTGGGGGATGGGCTAGCCTTTGGGTATTAAATTG